GTCCCCCAGGCTCAATGGGACCAACATGTATAAATAAAGGTTGAATTAATTAATTATGTTTTATATAACAAACCGGAAATCCTGGTTTGGATAGTTTTTATTAAACGACTACATTTGTGGATGCTTTGAAATAAAGATTAAAAAATATATATTTTTGCTTTACAAGGCCTCTCCAAAAAGGTTTTTGTATTAGACAACTTTCAGTTTGTTTCAGTTTCTAATTAAGTTTTGGCTGATGCAAAGATTGTTTATCGTATACAACGTGCTTAATAGTGCACAGTTTGAATTCTGTGCTGTAATCCCTTATTATCTTCTCATGTCTGACAACACACACACACACAAATGAATGCATGCACACACACAAACTGAATCTCAGGTCAGGAGCAGAACAAGGGAAAAGACGTAGCATGAAGAGGCACCGATGGTGACATGAGTCGACGGTCCATTGGGAGTCATGGATGTCAGATTAGTGGAAAACACCCACGCCCACACACACACACACACACATGCACGCACGCACGCACACACACACACACACACATACACACACACATGGGGAATTTCATGAGACTCATTACGGTAATTAAAAAGCTTTCCACTCAGCTTTCTTTTCCTGCATAATGAACTTTAGGGACGATACAATGAGTGCTTTACCTTTGGGAGCTCAGTGTTGAACATGATCACCAGTTTGGTTCATGTTATTATGGACATGAATGTACATGTGTAGTTTTTTTTTAAATGTGTAGCTTAATGGTGGTTGCCCAGGCAACAGCCCTAGTGAGCTCACGAGACAGTGTGGGATTGAAGGCAAGCCCCTTTGCCCTAATAATCCCTGCTTTCTCTTTCAGAGGGAGCTTCAGTGACCCCCTCTGAGGTGGCGGGAGGAGGTGTTGGCATCTCCTGCTTTGAGGAGGAATGAGGCTGATGGAAAGAAGTGTAGAGTAGAGATTTGAGGTTTGGACATGTGAGCTGCATAGTAGACAACGAGGCTGGAGGAAGTTTTAACTAAAGAGCGCAGATATGTGTGTGTGTGTGTGTTTGCTTATGTTACTTTGAGAGGACCATTTTTGAACATATACTACATTGTGAGGACCAACTGATCCTTATGGGGACAAAAGCCAGGTCCCCATAAGATTCGAATGTTATTGGTAAGTGAGGGCTTAGGTTTAGGGTTAGGTACTGGTAATGGTTAAATTTAGGGTTATGTATGTACTGGTAATGGTTAAATTTAGGGTTAGGTATGCACTGGTAAGGGTTAAATTTAGGGTTAGGTATGTACTAGTAATGATTAAATTGAGGGTTAGGTATGTACTGGTAATGGTTAGATTTAGGGTTAGGTACTT